TGTCCCACATCTTTTTCCACAATCCATTGCGCCAAACGGTGTGGTAGGCTTTTTGTACATCTAGGAAGAAACAGTATGTCGTACGCCCGGCGTCTTTCCTACCTTGGATAATTTTACTCAACGTATATACATGGTCTACACAACTACGATCTGGTCTAAATCCAGCTTGTCCTTCGCTGATCTTTTGTTTCCCCTCCAACATGTCTCCCATTCTATTGCTTATCATCTTGCCAAGAGTTTCCCCACTGTGCTCCGCAAGGTTATCCCTCTATAATTCCCCGGGTCAGTTTTATCCCCCTTTTTGAACAGGTTCACGACTACTCCTTCTCTCCATCTCTTCGGCGCGTACTCGTGTTTCCATATCCAGTTGAATATCCGGACCAACATGTTACTCATCCCCCCCCCCCCTGTTTCAAAAGCTTATTCACAATTCCATCAGCCCCTGCCGCTTTTCTATTCTTGAGTTTCGCTACACAGTCCTCTACCTCTTCTCGTGTGAACTCTCCCTGCAACCCGCCTACATCACTACATTCCCTCCGAGATTCAACGTTTTCCTCTGCCCACGAGTTGATTTCCTCCTCAAACTCCGAGTCGAACTTGTCGTTGGTGGTGGATGTCCCAAGTTTGCGGTAGTGCTCTACTAGTACTTCCCGCCTTCCTTTAGAACTGCTTACCATCTTACCCTCGGCAGATCGTAGTGTCGCTATTCCCGTGTCTCCCCCTCTTTTCTTGCCCACTATTCTGTGGGCACCACATGTCAGTATATTAGGCTTGGGGCACCTTATCTCGTGTCGGGCAAACACCCTTTTTACAGTGATATATAAGGTGCCCCAAGCCATATATACCGACATGTGGTGCCCACAATTCCTTGAATTCCTACCCACATTTGCTTCATCCCCCCCTCAAAGTCTTCGTTAGTCTTTTGGTCTACTTCCTCCCACAACGCTTTCTTCTTCACCAACTCCTTCACCCTCTTTCTATTTTCAAAATACTCCTTCCATCCTGCATCGGTTTTCCCTGCCGCATATTTTGCGTGTGAATCTCTACGTACTCGAATTGCTTGCTTGATTTCTTCGTCCCACCACTTCACAACTCTCTTACAAACTATCAACTTTCTACCGAGAACTCTACTTGTTGTGTTTACCAGCTTTTCCCACCCTTCTATGATTCTAGATCCGGCCTGGTCCCGACCTTTGGCATTCTTCGGTGTGCCCATTACCTCGATCAACTCCGAGAGTTTCTTGTCGTTTACAGCCATCTCTTCTTGGAACTCTACCCTCGTTTCTTCTACTTCTAGCTTATCTATTCTCCATCTGTACATTTTCCTGCGTCGCCTACTCTGTATGACTCTCGTCTGTTGTAGGGCTGTCCACACCAACGCACGGTCTGTAGTGCCTACATCCGTTGTGCATACCCGTACTTCCGTCTCTTTCCCCCCATTACAGGATTGGATTGGATTGGATTAGATTGGAATCTTTCATTGTTGGCTTGCGACGGGGATCGTCTCAACCGGCAGGTGCCGTCCACTCACACACAAGCGGGGGGGAACAACGTGTGGCGGTGTTCATTTAGTGTGCGCGTTTTCTCTTGTGCCGCGCAATTTCGTCAGCGCCACGTGTGGCCCAGCGGTACCTTTTCAACCGCCGCCCCGTACCGCGGATCCACCCCTCCGACTACAAAGCGAAACGAAACCGGCAAACAGAGTCAAATCAGGCAAAACTCACCATGTCTGTGGGCCGCAACAGCGCTTAAACAAACAAAAAAAAGTCAAAATTCACGTTGTCCATCAACCGATGGAACGCGACCGAAAAAGCATCTCACGTTCTCTGTGGACCCATGGCGTTCAAGACCTTGAGGGGCAGGTCCTGGCACAACGGGTGCACGGACACGACGAAGTCCGGAGAGTACCGCTGCATGGCCTCCTTGAACCGCCCGAAGTTCTGGAAGGAGAGCATCTTGCCGTTGAGGTATCGCGTCGGCGGGAAGCGGGCGTACTCGTACATCGCTCGCCACACCAACGGGTTCTTCGCTGCGTACTTTTTAATGTTGTTGGGAATTGCAAGGTGGGGAGGATACGTGGGGGTAAGGTTTGGGTGGGGTGGGATCGATTCTATGCTTGGGCTTGAACCGAGTCGTTGGATACGGTTCAGGATATGGTTCACAGCATGAAAGTGTGTGTTAACAAGAACGGATGGCGGGCATTGAGGGGGCGCGATTGGCCTTGCTTTGCCTCGCCCTTTGAGGTGCGTAGCGGGAGTTCATGGCAACATTCCGGCTTGACCCCAGTGTGCAGGACGAAAACAGCGCTGCTTCTCTTCGCCATTCTCTCGAGGGAGGAACTGGACCAACTTCTCGCACAGAAAACCCAGAACCCGCCACCATTATCGGCACCACACGTGACAAAAACAACAACGACAGCAGCAAGAACAGCAGCGGCAAAAAACAACAGCAGCAACCGATAACCGCATCAGCCAACCAGCCAGCCAGCCCCCCCCTACCTGATACGCGGGAACGCTTGCGCTGTACGGCCAGCGGCTGTGCTCCGTGAAGATGTCCACCATTGTCACGGCGATGCGCCCGGGATACATCTCCTCCAGGGCTGCCTCAAGGGCCTGGGCCGACGCACGGTGCCCCCCGCCGGTGTCCGACATGAGAATGAGCATGTTTACCTTGGCGTCCTCTCCCCGTGACAGTCGTCGCCTTTGCACCTTCTCCGCCTTGATAAAAAAAAAAAAAACGCAGCAGCATGTTTTCCCGACAGCAACGGCCCGGGGTATGGGGAGGGTGTGTGGTTCAATTGTTGGCGTCGACCGCGAAAACCGGCTGACCAACGAGAACAGGCCAGTCTCCTATTGCGGTTGAGAACACAAAGTGCTTGTACAAAGGCTACCATGACCTGGCACCCCGTGAGGGGTGTGCGTGTGTAGGAGGGGGGGCGTGCTCGTGTATTGCATCCCTTCGTTGCTAGACCATTGTGTGGGTGTGGGGAAGCTGTCACTAGATAGCTTGTGTTGCCAAACATTGTCTTGTGGGTATCCTTCGACTATACATCCGTTCATGGGACGGAGCAAGCAAGCACCCTTCGTTGGTTCTCATGTCTCCTGGCAAGGACACGTCCAGCATATCGGGCCTCTCCCGTTGCGATTCGGCATGCATTTTGTGGGTGCGGGCACGAACCCAGATCGGCCCCCCTGCCGATCTCGCCGACACTGCCGTCACTACCGCTGCTCGACTCCTCACCAACACGCCAACATCCACCGCAAGGGCTAAGGATATCTCCGAACGCCTCCCTCCAGACACGACACACTAGACACAGCACTCTGCCGTCGACCGAACGACTCACCCTCTTGCTGCTAGCGCTGACTTGACTTGGTGGACGGCGAACGCGTCGCCTTGTCCGTGAGAAGCAACCGACGGGGACAGACAGACCCCGATCGACACACACAACCAAGCTCGAACCCAAAGCCCAGCCGCCCGGCCGAGGCTGGAATCACCGACTCCTCTTCCACTTTCCAATATTTGCTATTCCGTCCCATAATTATTCAAGGGGTTTGCGCGGTAATTTACCGTCTACAATCGGTGCAGTCCATTGATTCGCTCGTTGTGCATCGAAACCGACATGTTTTAGGCGCCAGCCTACTTCCACCTTTCGGTGCTCTAGCGCTTGCTGCACCAGCCGTGGTCGCACACCCAGGGCTTCGACCGGCACGCGTAGCTATGCACGCTAGAGACAACGTGACATGTTGGGTCCGGGCCTCCCTTCATCTCATTGAACTCACCGACCATCTGTTGATGTCCTCCGTGTATTCCTCCACGGTAACGCCGTGGGGGCACTTCTCGCCCCCAAACTAAACAGTGAAGACAGGCAGGACAGCAAATGAGACGACGAAAAACAAAAAAATAACAGCACGAGCGGGCGGGCGGGCGGGCGGGCGGTTGGGGGGGAGGGGGAGGTTTGGAATGTTTTGCCAATGCGATACGTCTCGCAAGCGAGGCGACTGATAAACGGGAAAACACGCTGATTGCTCCCGCGCACTCTCCCCGCTCTGTCCTACTGACAAATAACAGGAGAAACATGAAAAAAATCGAAAAATAAAAGGAGAAACATGAAGAAAATCACTGTCAAGTCTGGCAGCGTGACAACATTGAAGGGTGTTGATTGACCTCCTACACACGAAAAGCCCTGTTCGTAAGTCTGACTTGGTTCAAGTTCTAAATAGCCAACAAGGGAGGATCAGGCTACATTCTTCGTTAGAGCAAGCTTGTCCCGGTGACATGCACCGACGCAGTTGGCAACCTTTAGAGATGGGACGAGCGGATACGCATACAAATACAGTAGACATGCGCTAACCACATCGAACTGTACAAAGCCTACAGCACACGGACGGTATGGCGTGAGGGAGCAAGTTCAATTTCGTGCTACAGCAGTACAACCCATCACAACATGCACAAACACTCTGAACGATTACGACAGCAGCAGCAGCAGCAGCAGCAGCAGCAGCAGCAGCAGCAGCAGGGAATGCCGCCGCCACTGCTGTGCAACACGCGGTTGCTGAAACCTTCGCCCCTCGCCGGCACCGGGCGCAGAACGACCGAAAATCTCACAACAGCACTGCCGTGCATCGTCGTCGTGGTCACCCCAAGCTCCTGTTGGTGAACCAATCATGTTTTCTTTTCCCAGAAGCAAACAACACCGTACTCATCGCACCAGGTAATGTACACCGGAAGAGCACCGCGGTGCTGGACTCATCACTCACCCCCGCCCCGGTGACGTCGCACGCCCTGGTCTGGTGCTTGAGGCGGCGCATCTCCCTTCTTCTCCGGAAGCTCTTCACGCCTCGGTTGACCTTGCCCCAGTAGCGCCGGGCCTTGCCCCCTCGCCGCTGGAACGTTGACGCCGCGTCCGGAATCTCCGCATCCTCCACCACCTGATTGAACACACGACACGTGTGAGTTGCGACCAAGAAAGGAAACCAAAACAAAACTTGGAATAAAACAAAATACAAAGCGAAATCAAGTGTTGCTAAGGCTAATTCTTATACACCTGGATTCCTTTCCCGAAAAGCTTCCTTTTTCAGGATGGGCAGAAATCCTGCTTCTGATACAGCCAGATTCTTCACTTTTTTGGGTCGACAAAATCTGGGTTCAGCTTTTTGGGTGGCCTCCACCCGAAAAGTTTGGAAGAGATCAGGATGGAGTCCACCCAGATTTCTCATCCCAAAAAGTTCACCGCTGGGTGAAGCCAGACGACATAATCGGCGAGTGCGACCTGAGTTCTTAACGTATCGCTCCCATCAAGGGCTCCAAGCAACCCTACGCTGAAGGGCTTGCTATTCTGCACGCTGGCTGTTGATGGTCGCTAGGCACGCGTGCGTAAAAAAAGCATATCACATCGCACCAAGCATGGGAGACGCCGACACAGTCCAAACAGCCACGAGACAGCAATAAGAGCCGCATTTTGTCAGAGAGGGGAGGACACCGCAACTGCTTTCTCGCTCCCAAGGCCACCGATCGAAGCCAGACCGGTCAGGGCGTGCTCTCGGTTTCTAGATCTCTGCCGGAGTAGAGTTGCTCAGCAGCTCGTTGATCCAATCATTCGAAATCGTCGTCTGCGTGTACACAAGCTGTCTGTTGAAAATTGTTTCCAGGCCCTCAACACATGATTCTGTTCTCAAGTGAAGCAAACCAAAACAAAATCACAGTTCGAAAAAGCAACGGGCACCACGCGCATGCTTCTCTCCGTCGATCGAGAGTACGCGCTGCCGAGCAAATCTACTCCGGCAGAGATCAAGGAACAGAGAGCACGCCCTGACCGGTCTGGCTTCGATCAGTGGACTTGGGAGCGAGACATCAGTTGCGGTGTCCTCCCCTCTCTGACAAAGAAGCGGCTCTTTTTGGTGTCTCGTGGCGGTTTGGTCTCCTTCGGCGTCTCGCATGCTTGGTGCGATGCGATATGCTTTTAATACGCACGCGTGCCTAGCGACCATCAACAGCCAGCGTGCAGAATGGCAAGCCCTTCAGCGTAGGGCTGCTGGGAGCCCTTGATGGGAACAATACGTCAAGAACTCAGGTCGCACTCGCCGATTATGTCGTCTGGGTTGCACCCACCCCCCAAGAATCTGCATCAGGAATCCGGCTCACTGTAAGAACGGCCGAAGTTTTTTTCCAGCCGGATTTCTGCCCATCCTGAAAAGTGAGGCTTTTTGGGAAAGGAATCCAGGTGTATTAGAAACCGCCTTACGACGAAAGCCTTTTTTCGCGATATTTTTTTTGTCTTGTTTCCAAGTAAGACTGACGTCTTTTCATTGGCCAGCCGACCATTAGCCAGCCTGGTAGCAGCAGTCAATGCACGCTGCGGTGCTGCGGAGGGGGTAGCCCGCGAGTGAGAACATCGTCCAGGTTGGCCTATTACACTGAAAACGGGGGTGTATAACACTATAATAGTACTGGTCAGCACGGTCGGCGCGAAAAAAGAACACCACATACACGGAGGACGAAACAACGATATACTGGTGATTGCTCCTATAACTCCCCCAGCAGTGTTTCCAGTGGATAATTCTTGATGGTCTACTGCTGTACCCTAAAGACGTGGAGGCGTGGTACGAAGCTTTGCGCAGCGCAAGATACCTGGGTTCGGTCATGAGTCAAGTGCCTTGGGTTGATTCTCTATCTGGCGTTGTTTAGGATTGCACGATCGATAAATCAATACTCTCACGTCTCTGAAGGCCTCCGACGACTCTCTGATAGAAATAACGCTTGAAATTGAAACGGGGTTTCATGTGCGAACAACAGGGTTTGAGCGACTTCAGCACCACGCGCGTGTTGGTGCAGGTGTAAGAGATCGATCGCTATGTGTTTTGGTCACCTGCTGTAGCACATTCAGGTAATAGTCGAGGTGCCTGAAGACAGCCGTGGCGGTTGTCGTGTTGTTGCTGTTGCTGCTGCTGCTGCTGCTGCGTGCATATGTAGCACACGCTTGTCTGGTTGCTGATCAATGACAGTTGCCTACAATCACACCGCCGAGCACTGCTGTGCATCCATGGGTACTGCTGTACCTTGGAAGTCGTTGCAATACATGCGCAGTTTCAGCATGTGTTCGGCCCGAACAAGCACGAGGTTCTCGCCAATAACAGGTGCACCTTGTAGCTGGAGAATGGCGCACTGCAACCCCTTGTGTAACAGAGTCTCGGGAGGGTCTGATCGTTAGAAAAGACTGCTCGAGTATTATTATGCATACAAGCGCAGGCAGACACTGAATCATCACACCAGGGTCGAGCTACAAGTATTAATACGAGACGTGAACGCGTGTCTGTTACGACGACGTTTGTCCAGGGAGACAAACGCACTCCCTCGTTCTTACAGCAGTTTGCAAGGCTTTTATTGCTCTGTGTGTGTCCAAGAGACGGGGAAGGTATTCCGAGCTTCGGCAGACACGACAAAGCAAACTGCAAGTACGTTTGTGTGGCGCGATCAACGGCGGCGTCCGGGAGAGCTAGCTGTCCGGGGGCACTTGCTCGATAGTCGGCGCGGCAGGCGCAAGACACGCTCAGCTAGGAAGAAGATTTGAGAGACAAGCAATAGAACGCCGTTCATGAACATTTGTTCATCAGGGACGTTCAAATCTCGACCACCACACGCCATGTTTCTGTGCAGCAGAGGAGTAGCAAACGCATCCCATCTCCGCTGGTTGCACGGTAGACTTATTACAGTGTCGCTCCTATTGCAGTAGTCCCCTCTACCTACTGCCTACGACCCTCACCTGGTCCTCGACGCGCCAGCTCCCGAAGAGCGCGCCGCTTCCCAAAACCGCAAGGTGCACGAGGGTCGTCGTCATTACCAGGACCATCTTCCCAAATAGCATGGGCTGCTGCCGCCGCGCAGGGTCGCTTTCGTCGTGGCGGAGCCCACGAGATGCTTCCCTCCCTTCCTGGCCCGGTTGCTCTTGAATCCTTGCCGCTGGCTGTGCTGTTGCTTTTGGTTGCCGTTCAAAACCTGGGAAATCACCCTTGTTCTCTTTCCCCTTGTTTCCGTTCTCTAGCTGCTGTGTCCCCCGTTTCCTACGAGAAATCCGAATTTCCCCGGCACGGTAGCCAGCACCGGTGCGGTAGGTACGGGGTAGGCGGTACTACTACTTCTACTGTTACCTATGGCTGCGGCCCATCACTCCCTGGCGTGGGTTAGATCGATCGAGACTTCGCTGCAACTGAAGATTCGACAGCCCGGAGCTGCCAACCCGAACCGCGCACACGTCAAAAAATGACGTAGGGGCTCCGCAAATATGAATTCTTGCGGAGATATTACACATATGCGTGATTCCAGTTCGCGATCCCCCTCAGGCGACGGACGAAGTCGACCGTCAGACCACAACAGATAACAGCGCGCTACTACCTAACCCCGCACGGAAAGGTGAGATCTTGTGCAAGAATAGATGGGCTTCGGAAGACCGTCAGGGTGGCGTCGAAGACATGGCTAGTTGCGGCAGTCTTTTGTTTATTTTGTTTCGCTTTTTCGGAAAAATTCTGTGCCACGTACCCACCGCCCCGCGGCGATGGGATTGATGGTGGGGAGAGAGGCAGATGTTTCGAGTGGTTTCTGGTGCGCCTGCGCTGCGTTTCTACTCGCGGTACCTGGGTGCATGGCGTGAGCATCACGAAGAAGAGGCTACCTTCCCCAACACTAGTACCCGCTCCTCTCGAAGGCGGTCCTACGCACGAGTTAGGTTGTTTTTTCGCGAGGTTTTTTTATTCTGTTTCTACCGTACGCACTCTCCCTCTCGCTTATTCCCGGCGATGTGATACGATATCCAAAGCCACCAGCAGCATTGTTTTTCTGTTTGCCTGCCGAGCGTAAGGGTCATTTTCCCTGAGCATCGACTGGTTCGGTTTGCCGGATGTCCAGTAATCACGGAGGCCAGATAACTTGTGATTCTGTGCCAGCGGCTAGCAAAAGGTCATTTCAAGTTTTTGGGTTGGTTGTGGCGGACGATTGTGTGTGGAAATCTGTTGTCTCTCTTACCTCAATTTCTCGTCTTTGGTGTCAGCCCAAACCTACCGTTGTAGACACTTGTCTACTGTACGTACGTAGCAACGCAGTGGGGGCGAGGAAATCTGCTGCTGAACAACTGCCGTCGCCGTCGTGCACCACCATACTGATGAACCTTCTTGCCCCCCCGCTCTCTTGCCTGCCTCCCAACCCCCAAAGCAGGATACACGAAAAACGGGCACAAAACAAGCCTTTCTTCATCTCCGTCAATCCGAAAAGAGTTCCCGAAATGTCTCACTACGGAGGTGGCGGTGGCGGATACGGCGGTCGCAGTGACGACTACTCTTCGCGCCGCGGCGGCGGGGGGGGGGGCTACGGCGGCGGCGGGGGGGG